GTCTGTGTGTGTGTGTGTGTGTGTGTGTGTGGAGAGAGAGCTGATCATGGCACTGAGATGAAGTTCCACGTTTACTTTAGCAGTGAGGAATTGATGACTTTGGACTATTGATCTCATTCATGGTTCTGTTCTTTTCATCAGCTCTGTCATGATTTATGTGTTTGCGCACAGGCATGTATTGTAAGGTTCACAAAATCTTACATTACTTCTATAAGTATACGCTTCGTCTGGGTTTCTGTCCTACAGGAAATCCAGGGATGAGCATCTTCAGCTGGTGTCGGGTGGCCGCTGTGGTAGCTCTGATCTTGATCATACTGGGAGGGCTGGGAGCCGCCATCTGGGCCCTTGGTGAGACTTTCTGCTTGCTGATTTAATGGAATACTGCAGCCACTTCAGAGACACTTTACACTTGATTTCTGTGTTTGTTTTTCAGTCACATATCTCAGAACAACAGAAGATACTGGATTATTTGATGGTAAGCATTCTTGTACACGTTTTTTTTTTTTAAAGAATGCTGCATTTATATACACATACATACAGACAGACAGAGAGGCAGACTGACTGAAAATAAATTGATTACATTTCTATATTACTTAAAGGGTTAGTTCACCCAACAATTAAAATTAGCCCATAAATTACTCACCCTCAATTCATCCTAGATGTATATGACTTTCTTCTTTCAGACGAATCCAGTCGGAGTTATATTAAAAATTGTCTTTGATCTTTCAAGCTGTTTAATGCCACTCAGCGGGTGTTGCATGCATCAGTCCAAAAGCACTTAATTAAAATGCGCCCATCAATAAAAAAAAAAGTGTCTCACACGGCTCTGGGGGGTGAACAAGGCCTTCTGTAGCGAATCGATGCGTTTTTGTAAGAAAAATATCCATATACAAAATGTAATAATCACTTTAATGTAGCTTGCGCTCACTATTGTACACTGGAAGCAGTTCCGGGTGGATGACGTATGGGGAGGTCTTCTTTGCGCATTCGCCGCTCAGAAGTGTAAGAAAAAGTGATGAGGACGTCGAAGATCTTTGATGAAGAATAACTTTTATTACAGAGTAGCAGTGACAAAGTACAAACAGCACTTCGGATTCAGCGGAGTCTAAATGAACCTCGAACATCCTAAGCTCAAACCTTTTATACTGTATTACATTCATCTTCCCGCTCAACATGTAAATGAAGTTTCGTTTTAAATGTAAATTGCGGATAACAATGAAAGTGATAGCCTTCCGTTCCCACATCTTTGGTAGACTTGCAGGTGGGAACAACCAAATGTTAAGGTGATAAGATTAAACAGAATCCCTAGCAGTTATTTCATGTACCCTTTTGGTCAGCAGATGGTTCTTGACGGCCTGCTGCTGCTCCCACGCTATAAGTGACAAATTATCGCTCCGGAGGTACTATTTACATATGATTAAGATCAGAAAGAACTATCTCTATGATAATTAAGCTCTTTGTAGGGAAAGGAGCATAGTTTAACACAATTTCGAGTGGAAGCTGGGTCGAGGCAGACTATAATTTCTTACAGAAGTGACGCACGCAGAAGCGCAGGGGAGAGATCAAAACAAAACAACGGTCACTAATTAGAAGTACAAAACGAGGATTTGGAAAGAAGAATGTCGGAGGATTTCGATATAAGCCAAGAGTAGACTGGTTTTCCTTTGCTAAATAAGGAAACTTTGCTTCCTTTGCTCCTGTTAACAAACGTTGGTTTTCACGAGACGCACCGGCGCATGCGCAACGCTTAAGTGCTTTTGGACTGATGCATGCAACACCCGCTGAGTGCCATGAAACAGCTTGAAAGATCAAAGACAATTTTTAATATAACTCCGACTGGATTCAGGATTCCGTCTGAAAGAAGAAAGTCATATACACCTAGGATGACTTGAGGGTGAGTAATTTATGGGCTAATTTTCATTTTTAGGTGAACTAACCCTTTTAATTTAATAAAATTTTTTAATAATTAAAAAAAAATCAAGAATAATAATTTTGAGTTATAATACTAATTTATGTGCAAATACTACACTATAAATATACGGTAAATACTTACTTTTTTAAATGCATATATTTATGTTGCATGTATAATTCAACAAATGGCATCCAGTTATAATCTCAGAAATAAAATCATTAATTTGCATTTTACATTTTCCAACACGATGGACATGGAAGTTGATCACATTGCATTGTATCATGCAGCATTCAGCACAGTGCATTCTGCTTGAATACTGTATTCCCATGCAACATAGAAAGTGCATTGGGTCATCTATAACAGTATGAACATTCTCACTGTGTTGATCATGTCCTGCAGTACAGGTGAGCGCAGCAGACCAGAGGCTGCGAGTGTTTGACTCCACCCAGCGGAGGTGGAAACACGTCTGCTCATCCAGCACCAACCAGCTCATCGCCAACATCAGCTGTGAGGAGATGGGCTTCGTCAGGTAACAAACACACGACACGCACCAGGCTCACATCTAACTGTGAGAAATTTAGTCAAGCCGGTTTACAATATGACTGGAATTCATCATTATTTCGGTCATGTCTTGATTTGCTTTTTACTCTCTAATCAGAGCAGTGAATTTCTCAGTGACGTGTGCTCCTGACAATAGTGGTGACAAAGATTTTTTCTGCGTGAAAGAGAGTGAGTTAACATATGGGAAGAAGATAAAAACAGCCCTCTATCCTTGGTAAGACAAAGCCATTTCATGCGACTAAAACTAAATGTATGCAGCATGGACATCACCAAACTGAAATGAAAAAATCTACTTTGAAACCCCCATCAGCCATTGTTTTAACATAATGAAATATTTGTGATTAATATTTTGCTTGCATAAAATGTATTCCATCAGAATACACAACTACTTATAAATGGCCATCAAGGCCATCAGAATATTATATATGGTTTCTTAAGGATAATGTGACACTGAAGACTGGAGTAATGGTTGCTTAAAATTCAGTTTTGCCATCCCAAAAATAAATTACATTTTAAAATATATTAAAATAGAATTTAAAGTGTAATAATATTTCACAATATTGCTGTTGTTACTGTAATTTTGATCAAATAAATGCTGCCTTGATGAGCATGAGACATCTGTCAAAAGTCCTTGAAATGACCAGCCCAGTCAACATATCACAGTCTTGTTTGGTTTTACTAGTGGTGAAGAAATGACACACTCATTCTTTAATAGTGTATCAGATTGAACTTTAATCTGGCAAACAAAAAATAAACAATAACTAAAGGCTAAAAACCGGTAAGCTCTCTAAAACATTCTTCATGTTTCATTTTTGTTTCAGTAAATGTGACAAAGGTCAGATAATTGAGGTGATTTGTCAGGGTAAGTGCCACAACACATATTTGTAGCATATTGAATATTTGCACTGCAAATGGTTTGTGATTTGTTCGCTCTCCATCGCTGTAGACTGTGGTCGTCGTATGCTGCCTGAAGAGCGGATCGTGGGGGGAGTGGATGCTCGTCAGGGTTCGTGGCCGTGGCAGGTCAGCTTACAGTATGATGGAGTTCATCAGTGTGGTGGATCCATCATTTCAGATCGCTGGATCATCAGTGCTGCTCACTGCTTTCCTGAGTGAGTGACATACACTTTTTACTACTATATTTACTAAAACATGCTAGCAACCATAGGCGGAGGGTGAACCAACTCCAGGGTAAGGCTAAAAGCAGCCAAATGTATTAAACATCATAAACCCGTCTTTTTAGGCAAGAACCAGACATGGGTGTCATGTCTCACTGTGTTGATCATGTCCTGCAGTACAGGTGAGCGCAGCAGACCAGAGGCTGCGAGTGTTTGACTCCACCCAGCGGAGGTGGAAACACGTCTGCTCATCCAGCACCAACCAGCTCATCGCCAACATCAGCTGTGAAGAAATGGGCTTCGTCAGGTAACAAACACACGACACGCACCAGGCTCACATCTAACTGTGAGAAATTTAGTCAAGCCGGTTTACAATATGACTGGAATTCATCATTATTTCGGTCATGTCTTGATTTGCTTTTTACTCTCTAATCAGAGCAGTGAATTTCTCAGTGACGTGTGCTCCTGATAATGGTGGTGACCGAGATTTTTTCTGCGTAAAAGAGAGTGAGTTAACTTATGGGAAGAAGATAAAAACAGCCCTTTATCCTTGGTAAGTTACATACAATTAAAACTGGACTAAATTTGAATGGTCATCAAGGCCATCAGCATATTAGATGATTCATATTCATTTGATCATATGATTTCTGAAGGATCATGTGACGCTGAAGACTGTAGTAATGATGCTGAAAATTCAGCTTTGCATCACAAAAATAAATTGCATTTTAAAATATATTAAAATAGAAAACAGTTATTTTAATATTTCACAATATTAATGTTGTTACTGTATTTTTGATCAAATAAATGCTGCCTTGATGAGCACGAGAGACTCAAAAGTCCTTGAAAAGAGCCAATGTTGCCTAGACATCATATTGCAATTTCATTTGGTTTCGCTAGTGGTGCAGAAATCACACAATTCATCTTTAACAGTGAATCAGATTGCTTTTTAATCTGGCAAACAAAAAAGAAACACTAACTAAAAGCGAAAAACAGTTGCAATTTTGTTAACCTCTCTAAAACATTCTAATGATTTATTTCTGTTTCAGTAAATGTGACAAAGGTCAGATACTTGAGGTGATTTGTCAGGGTAAATGCAACAACTCAAGCATATTTGTAGTATATTGAATATGTGCACTGCAAGTGCATGATTTGTTCGCTCTCCATTACCGTAGACTGTGGTCGTCGTATGCTGCCTGAGGAGCGGATCGTGGGGGGAGTGGATGCCCGCCAGGGTTCGTGGCCATGGCAGGTCAGCCTACAGTATGATGGAGTTCATCAGTGTGGTGGATCCATCATTTCAGATCGCTGGATCGTCAGTGCCACACACTGCTTTCCTGAGTGAGTGACACACTTTTTCTACTATCTTTAAAACATTCTAGAAACATGATATTAACTTAATTATGTAGTGGGGGTAGGGGGAGAGGCTACTCTGATATTGGGTGACAGAATAACATAATTCATAGACTAGATGGTGGAGTACAGAAGCCTACTTCATGTGGGACACAACTAACATGTTAAATCATGTTTACAATGTGCTAAAACATACTAGCAGTGGCCTAAAATAAACTAGAAAATATGGTAAAAATGTTAGCAGTGTGTTAAACCATGTGAGAAACATGTTAGCGATGTGCTACAACTTGCTATCAACCTGTTAAATCGTGCTAGAAATGTGTTAAAACATGCAATGCATGTCAGTATGTTAGCCACATGGTAATACATGCTAAAAACCTGCTAGCAACATCGTAACTTATGTTAGCAAATATGCTAAAACATGTTAACATCTAGAACCAAGCTAAAACTTACTAGTTTCGCACTAAATATGGTACCAATGTCTGTCTATCTTACAGATTGCATGGCTTTAAAACCTTGAAACTTAAAGGTTTTTAAATTACTTTAATCTTAAAAATACATTTTTTAAAACTATTTCAAACTTTCTGGCTAGGCTTTCTCAAGCCAACATCAAAATTTGTCTACAGACTTTACTATCTAGTATGCACCTCTAAGTCTGACAAAATTGAATTCTTCAATCTTTATAAAACCTTTTTGCAATTTTAATTGTTAGATGTGAAGTGGCATTTTACAGTATTTAAAAACATCACTTACAACACCTTTAAGAAGATTTATTTTCTTGTGGAGGGTTTTGCTGTTTTCTAGTGACATTTACATACAAAACATGCAACACACAATTTACAAAACTATATGGCACCTTTGAAAAGTTTGGGGTCAATAAGATTTTTTTTTATGTTTTTGAAAACAGTCTTTTATTATGCTCATCAAGACTGCATTTATTTGATCAAAAATACAGTAATATTGTGAAATATTATTACAATTGAAATGGTTTTCTATTTTAATATATTTTAAAATGAAATTTTTCCTGTGATGCATTACTCCAGTCTTCAGTGTCACATGATCTTTCAGAAATCATTCTAATACGCTGATTTGCTGCCTGTATCGTCAGGAGGTATCGCCATGTGTCACGCTGGCGGGTTCTGATGGGATCGATCTACAACACTCCCATCCGTAAGAACATTGTGATCGCTGAGGTGAAGACGGTTGTCTACCACAGCAGCTACCTGCCCTTCGTCGATGCCAACATTGATGACAACAGTCGTGACATAGCAGTCCTGGCTCTGACAAAACCTCTGCAGTTCACTGGTGAGTTCTTACAAACACCCACAGGAAATAGGTAGCCCCGCCCACAATGAAATTTCATTGGCCAAAATCCTGCTCTATTTAGATGCATAGTAAACATCACATGTGTTCTGATTGGCTGTGATTATGCATATTTGCTTTCAGTTTGGACGGAAAAAAATTACTGGAAACGTTTGTTTTTATCTCTCTAAATAAAAGTATCTTTGAAATGTTACTGTAAATGTCATGTTGGGTTTTTTTGTGTGCTGTGTTTCAAGGCATTTAAAGGGGTCATATGATGTTGCTAAAAAGAACATTATTTTGTGTATTTGGTGTAATGAAATGTGTTTATGCGGTTTAAGGTTAAAAAAACACATTATTTTCCACATACTGTACATTATTGTTTCTCCTCTATGCCCTGCCTTTCTGAAACGCGTCGATTTTTACAAAGCTCATCGGTCTGAAAAGCGAGGTGTGCTCTGATTGGCCAGCTATCCAGTGCCTTGTGATTGGCCGAATACCTCACGCGTGTGACGGAAATACTACGCCCCTTACCATACTGTGATGCCGTGTCCCGGAGCGACGAGACAAAATCATTAAAACCCATTATAAACGAGGCAATTCTTGCATCCAGTGGGGACATAATTACGGATTATAATGACTTATACTGTCTTTTTACGCGTTGCGTTGCATATCGCCGCGTAAACATAAAACCACGTCTGCATTTGTGATCGGAGAAATGACAAACAACAAGTACTACTCTACACTGCCCAAAAAACTCACTTTAAAAATATAAAAAATATAAAATATAAAAACTCTTTAAATATAAAAAACGTACTTACAGTCTGTGAGTCAGAACAGCCGGCATTGTAGTCTACTCTACCAGGATCAGGAAACAGTCCTCCATAAAATGCGCTCCACACATCTGAATATTTGGGTTGAACTGTTCTGGAACAGTGTTGTAAATACAACTTAACCACTGATTTCTAGTCGACGAGTCTTAACTTTTATTTAAAAGAATATCTCTTTGGGTTTGAGACTTTAGTCTTTGCCACTTTAGGGATCTTATCTATTCACAAACAGCTTGTAACACTCCAAAGAGAAAGGAAAACTTGAAATCGCATCATATGACCCCTTTAAATACAAAACGTATGTTCATAAAAGAATGCATTCATAAAGGAAATGGCTTTGTGTAACAAGGACAAGTCTTTACTGGCAGTAGTTAAATCAGAGTCTGTTTAGAGGTGTTTTTCATTAGGTACTGGTATGTTACAGGCCTGTCTGACTGAACACAGCATTATAGTAAAACCTCGCTCCGGTCTCAGGTTGCTCGTCCTGAGAACAAAGCTCCTCTATTTCCAAGGGGCCTTGAGTTGAAACAAAAGACAATACCGGCAAAATTTTCCAGAAGGACAAAACTTTTCCTCATATCCAGAGTTTTCTGTAACCATTAACCAGAATGTTGCGGAAATATGATGGATTTGATTCTGAAATGCATTTGTGTCTCATTGTAAATCAGAGGAAATTGAGTGCGAGAAGCTAAAAATCGCTCTTTGTTCCCTCTAGTGTGTTTTCACAAGTATTGCGTTTGACTGTGTTTTCCTCTCAGTTGACATCTTTTGTTTTGGTGTTTTAGATTATATCCAGCCAGTGTGTCTTCCTACCTATGGCCAGCGTTTGGCGGATGGCCAGATGGGTACAGTAACCGGCTGGGGTAATGTGGAGTATTACGGTTAGTAATGTCTTATTCTGTGTATTTAATTAAAGGTCACTGAAGTGCTGCATTCCAGTGTTTATCATCTCTTTACCTGGAACTGAAGTCTGTCTGGCTTTGACCTTTGTGTCAGTGACCTGAGTGAGTGTTGTGTCACCGAATGTACCGCATGCGTGACCAACTATCGATTATCAGACAATAATTTCAACTTTCCTTACATGTACACTAACTTGTGATAGAAACCTAACAGTAGGGCTGCACGATTATGACAAAAATCATAATTGTCGATTATTCCCTTGAAATTGTAATTGCGATTATTAATTACGATTATCACAATTTACATTGAATTAAGTTTATACCATTGTTTGATGCAACTGCATGCCGTATTTTTATATGAAAATAAACAAGCTGAAAACACTTAACTGAAAAACTTTTAGTGCTTTTCTATAGAAATTAAGCCTCAAATGTCAACTAAACATCGGATTGGTTTCTTCTTTAAATGATAAAAAAAGTAAAAATATGAATGGTATTATAATGTTATACTAAAACTAAAACAATGGAAAAACCCTTAAGAGCCGAATAACATAAGTGGACTTTGAACGATTAATTGCCGCTTTGAACGATTATGTAATTGTGGCATCCATAATTGTAATCGCGATTAGAAATTTGATTAATTGTGCAGCCCTTAGGGCTTATCACATTATTCCAGTGTTGTTATCACTTGTGAAAAAGAAGTGTGCTTAATCGTATTGAATGTGCACTTGTAGTGTACTTATCTTAGTGTACAAATCTTTAAGTATATTTAAAAAAAAACTGTTGCAGATAATATAATATTAAAGAGGTCATATGATGCTGCTAAAAAGAACATTATTTTGTGTATTTGGTGTAATGAAATGTGTTTATGCGGTTTAAGGTTAAAAAAACACATTCTTTTCCACATACTGTACATTATTGTTTCTCCTCTATGCCCCGCCTTTCTGAAACGCGTCGATTTTTACAAAACTACTTTTATAAAGAATATCTCTTTGGATTTGAGACTTTAGTCTTTGCAACTTTACAGATCTTCTTTATGCACCAAGAGCTTGTAACACTCCAAAGAGAAAAGAAAAATTGAAATCGCATCATATGACCCCTTTAAAAGAAACGAAACAGTACTTACATTTATTTAAATGTATTTAAAGGGTTAGTTCACCCAAAAATTAAAATTCTGTCATTAATTACCAGTGTTGGGGGTTACGCAAACCTGCAATAATTAAATGTTAAATCACACAAATGTATCTAATCCCATTTTATTAACCAATATCTTTGCTGCTGACCTTTGATGATCCAGTTCAACCATACTAATAAGCAAAAATTACTTTAGAGAAACTAACAATTGTGCTTTGTTTTTTTATTGCTGAAGAGTGTTTCTTCTCCTG